TTTTTTTTTTTTTTTCCAGGGGCCCTAATCCTCTTCCGTAGACCGGTATGGATAGATTCATGAATAAAAACTTCCAACATCCACCCCCACCTAACCACTACTGTCAGGGTTTACTGAAATAAAAGTACAAATACCTGCATCTGAAACAAGTACCAACATGTACTCCTTTACTCAAGGGTAGAGAATAGGTTTCTACATTGTGCTTCAGTTTGTCCTTAAATGATTTTAAGGACAAACTATTGCAATAGTTTTCACTTTTACCTTAACTTCTCACAGACTAAATTAAAATGACGGCATTTGATCATATTAAAGTCACCTCTGCCTCCTACACTTTGGCAATATTTAGAAGTTGGTTCCAAAGCCAGTAATGTCTGATTTCCAATTCTGTCTGCTTAACAAATATATTTTCATTATTTTAAATTGGGCCAACCTATCAGAAAGTTTTTCAAATTATTTTCTTATATCTATAACCAAATCATGTGTGTTTTAAAACTAATTATATTGCATTATAATTACATACCATCATATAAATGGAGCATAAAGTGATTTATTTATCTTAGAATATTATGGGGATAAACCTGAGAAAAGATAAAAAAAAATGTAGATCTGGAGACTAGAACTGTTGGTGGTAAATTAAACAATATGATACCAGAAACAGATTTAATAGAGTCTGTTTTCTTTCATTATCTTATGGTGAAGTAAAAGAAAGGGAGGATGAAGGATATCCTGTAAGTTTAGTAAACCTCTAAAGACCAGTTTGGTGTTAAATAACTAAAGATATTAGGGAAGGAGTCTCTACTGGGTTTCATATATTTGTCCTAAAAAAAAACACCTGAGTGGTGAGATCACACATGTAAAGAACAGAAAATTAATAATAAATTGCACAGAAGTGTCCCTGTTTAATTTTTTATTCAGTTTATTTCTATAGTGACTATCCAGAACACGTCATCTTAAGGATCCTTCAGGAGAAAATAGAGTCGGATCGTCCAGTCCGTCTGGTTCAAGGTTTCTATGAAGGAAACAGGCTGATTGCATCGACTCTGGCTTGCAGGAAGCGCTCCTCCTGGTTGAGCTTAAGGGAAACTATGCTTGTGTGCATTTTGTCATCGACTCTTCAGCAATCCCTCATACCAAGCATGGATGCAGCGACAGTGGAGAGGAAAACTCTCTTTTAACAGGAAAAAACCTCCAGCAGAACCAGGCTCAGTGTGAGGTGTTTGTTGTTTCACAAGCAACAAAAAAACTCTAGAGAACTCTAGTTTCAACATTTTTTTTTTTAAGCGGTCAATTATTTAATGGTTTAGGCTTTACAGGGTTAAAGAACATAAATGCAACCTTTCAAATCCTCAGCCATTTTAACTCCAGCCCACCAAAATAAAAGTCCCTTAGAGCTGCAAATCACACAATAAATGACTGAAAAGTGGAAACATGGATTTCTTTTTTGGGGTATTTTATGTAAAAAGTAATTACATAGTAATACAGCATGTTACAGTAAAAATAGATCTAAAAACATTTATTGTTCTGTAACTCTATGCTGGGGTAAAAATTTTATTCCAACGTTCTATTAAAAAAGCCGCTACAGGTTGTAAGAATGGAACCTTTTAATGTAATATATTAATTAACCTCTTTTTATCCACCATTAAGAGTCTTTCTAAGGGGCCCTGAGAGCCGCAGGTTAAAGACCCCTGATCTATGGGAGCAACAGTGATGCAACCTAGCAACTCTTCCCACTCAGCTTTGCTATTGTTAATACCTTTGCTAATTTTGATTTTGATAACTACACTAACGTTACAAATTTTTTTAATGTTGCTAATGTTTTTACCGATCCTGCAACAGTGGCCCGGAGTGGTAAAATAATAGCGAAGACTGAATCTGATATGAACGTTAACTTTATCTGAATGTCACAAACAAAAAATTAACAAAACAAAATTCGAAAAAAAAAAAATTTGTGTCACAAAATTAGAGACTTTTTCACAAACTTTTTCTCCACCGACATCTCAAAACCTCTTGAGAAGGCCGTTTCTGTCAAAAAGAGATGTGAATTTTGATGAAGAGATGAAGATGAAGAGCATTATATATATATATATATATATATATATATATATATATATATATATTAGGGTATTTGTATTTGTACAATTGTAATAATTTAGTGATAATAAAACATAAAAATGTATGAGTGGCTGTGCTTTCCAACATGCATCCATCATATCAGAAGACTTTATTACTCTTAACCCCACTAAGAATATTTAAATGCACTGAAACATTTGTTTGTTTTCAGCAAAAGAAAAAACAAAACCTTGAAATTTAGTGAGTAAAAGTTGATTAAAATCGATTCTGTGCCTGTGGACTGAGCGGAGCTGTCGACCGCCCCAAGATGGCGCCACTAAATCACGTCAGCACCCATAGATATTGTTCTAAAACACAGTTAGTAGGACTGTGTGTCATAAACAGTATAAAACAGCTGAAATAAAAATAAAAGACAAATTTCAGAGTAATAAAAAATACGTATCAGTAAAATTAATTATAAAGTTAGAGTAGATAAATGTTGTAAACATTTTGATGCTGATTTACCCTTTAATACAGAAATACAGATTATATGATTTTTTTAAAGTCAATTTTAAAAACACTGAAAAGAGGTTTGTTCTTCATAAATTTTGACTTATGGTTGAAGAATTTACCAAGTAAAATAAATAGATTGAATATATATTGTATAGAGGGGTTTGAGTCAGAAAAATAAAAGAAAATGTGAAAACTGGATAAAAGTATGTTTGAGCCAAAGTGACCACTGTCGATGGTTTCTCCATTATAAATGAGTGAGTGGAGTTTTTTGCTCGCTTCTTCTCCAGCTGGTTAAAGCATTACTGCCCCCTGGCGGTAGAAGTAAAACCTTCCTCTTTTATTTACTCCAGCTGTTTTATTCTCAGCTTGTTTTCATTAGAAACAACCTGGGGAAGAAACTTTATGTGTTTTATGTGTTTAAGGGAACTTTCTGCACTGAGCTCTAAGGTTTACACCCCCTTCATCTCTCCGGTTCACCGACCCCCCCGATGCCTCATGGGAAATGTAGTTCTCCCGCTTTGAACCCTCCTTCATGGTCCGATCTGGATCTGACGATGGTCACGTGGTACCCCTTAAAGCGCCGCTCTGAGACCAACCGGTCCCGGTTCATTCAGAAGCTCGTGCTCTACTATAGGAGCTCAGTTCGTTACGGTAGCAGGTTCGGAGGATTCAACGGAACCTTTGGGTCAGTGACTCATTTCTCCTGGCAGATGGAGGACCGAACCGGACCCGAACTGGTTTTGGTCTTCAGCGGGAAACGGAAGTCCGGGAAAGATTACATAACGGATCTGATCCAGGATCGGTAAGGTTCGGTCCCGTTAAGACCACGTGATAGCGATGTTTACTTTGCCCGGGTCACGTGATTTGCACTTTCTCATAT